GTAGTCGTAGTAGTAGTAGTAGTAGTAGTAGTAGTAGTAGTAGTAGTAGTAGTAGTAGTAGTAGTAGTAGTAGTAGTAGTGGTAATAGTAATGGCAACGTCACCCCCTGATTGGTATGTACATACGCGTGGAAAGGGACATATGGTGTCGGCGACCAGGGTTGCTGAGTCATATTTAAAGGGCGTCAGGTTGCTCGTTTTTCATGGCCTCTCTTTCGAGCTTTGACTCATCGTCGAGACGCGCGTCATGTACATACGTATGTATATATACATGCATACAATATACACAACAAACACGACTACCAGTCCAGTAGGTGTACTTGTAGTAGGAAAATAAAAAAGAAAGAAAGAAAGAATCGGGGGATCAATCCGTGCAGTTATATATGTATATATAGACTTGCCGAATTTCCTGTCCCTGTGCTACTGTATACTATGTACATATAGTGATGGGGCTTTGTTTGCAATCCCCTTCGGTGGTATTGAGGATAAAGCTTCGCTCGATTATTCGCTCCTTTTGTCGGAGCCTTCGAGGGCTCTCTCTCTCTCTCTCTCCGTACGCGTACGTATAGTATTGCGTTATGCTCGGATTTCATCTGCCTTTTCCCCCGAAATTTAATTGGAAAGTTTGTCTCCCCCATTTGCCGGCTTTTATGCTACCATATTCGAATAATTGCCGTGCAATTTCTCCGAGAGCATCGTATAGAGAGAGAAAAAAAAACACAAGAGGAGCGAAGAAAGCCTTTCCGAGCCTATACATATAACAATCGACCGCCGCGTTTTCACGAGTTGCGGCAACGAGGATCGTTGCGTGCGAGCATTAGACACGCGCTTTTCTTCATAGCTCGTATTATATACTGGTGTATATATATATACATGTACCCGATCCAAGGATGTACTTTCATCCGCTGCACTTTCTAATTTGGGAAAGCTGAAGCGGCGTTGTCGGCTTCGTGGCGCTTTCGCTGTTATTCGCGGGGCGCGCGTCCCGGAAACATAGAAGCAGCGTAATCGCGCCCTCGTTTATTCAATTTTCCGTGACTCCCGGAGTTGGGTACCTATACAAGGTATATACTATGGGTATCATCGTCATCATCACCGCAGACTCGGTCTACTTTTCTTCTTTTACGAGCTCGCAGTGGGCGATGGAGTCCACAAATACTTGCACAACTTTATTGGGCAACTGTTTGATACTTTGGTGATTTGTAACCCAAGTTTTACTTGGTATATTACTTGAATATATGTCGTTTACCGAATGTTCCGGAAGTGGACAATTGTGAAAGCAACAATGGAAAAACTTATTAAAAACTGGCAGAGAAAATGTATGGACGAGATAAGACTATACAACCTGAAGCAATAATGGTGACGGTGGCATGAACGGCGACATCGTCGAAACGAGCTTTGACCGGCCTTGAACGTTAAAACTCAAGTAACGTGTGCCGTGGCTACCACCCCATGAGCTCACGTGCATACTATATACATATTACAATCCAAATCGCACTATTTGCTTGCAATAAAGTCAATGCTTAGTATATAAATACCTACCGATCCATACGGGATGGATAAAAAAAGGATTCGTCAAGAGGTGTTTCTTTATTTCTATGTATTTTATACGTGTATACATTGTTACACACGCACCGCCAAAGTTTATCATTACGTCGCTCTTGCGTTCGATATACGGTGTTAGACGAAAAGAAGGGAGGAAAAAAAATCGGTAGAGGTAGTTAATTACGTCACTGTGATGCAAGCACACGTATGTACGAGCTTAATAGCGGCACATCACCGCCAGCGAGTTTTCAGGGTTAGAATGTGCAGTATATACATATAAAACCAAGTATATGAGTTTGCGTAACGCTTGGAAAACCTCGACTCGTTGTAGGTATAAGTATATCCGGACGTGTTGACCCAACTTGCTAACTTTGATTTGCATTGTTTTCTTCTAACTCTCTGATGGTTGTTTCGTTATCGATGATTGTCGCGGATGGAATTTGCTGTTGTTGTGTGCACTCGATAGATCTCGGGGAAGAGATATATATATATTTACACGCGCTATACTGTCTTTTATATACTTGCTCATACGTATAGGTATACTATATCCTCGCTATATACGAGGAATCGTTTTTCTTTCTTTTTTTTTTTTCCTCAATTAAGTAATCGCGCTGAAAAATCTTTTCAAATGTTCAAAACAATCGAGCAGATGAGCTGCGAAATAAAGAAACGTGGCGTGCTTATCGCGAATTCGTTATTTGGTCCTTATAGTCAGCGCGGGATTCCATTGGTTGTGTGAAACAAAAAAATTTGTCGCGGATGCTGCGTTATTCACGGAACTGTTGTACTTTTTATTTTCACCGCGGCAGCGACTCGTGGTGTCGAAAGTCCATCGATATACTTATATCAAACTGTATATGTAATTTATTCGCCGGTGGTTACATCCATCCCTCCCTCTCTTTTGGAAATCTCCTCCGTTACCGCGCTCTCCCTATTTTACAACTATGCTGCATGCGAAACTATGATTGCTCGCATCACGCGCTTTTGTGCTGCATATACTGTACACGAGATTACAGCACAACTTGCGTTCCATATGTACTTATACAGTGGAGCTTAAGTTGCGAAAGCTCAAAATTCGCCAATCGACATTGCAAACATATATTATACAGTTGCGCAACCAAAGTCTTCGTTTTGTACAGTGTCAGTTAGAAAAAGATACATACGTGTGAACAAAGCAGTAGAGCGAGCTTGACTGGTTATTTTATATATATAGATCTCGGACTCCGTACAGAGGAATTAATGAAGGAAGTGTATAATATTTCATTCAAAGGTAAGCACACGGGAGCGCTGGTTGCGTTAATTAATACACCGGAAATAGGTACCACACATGCCCGTACATACTACAGCGTATAAACATGTATACACACACGTGATTACAAATGTCATTCCCTGCATGTATATATATACATATACTTTTAATTTTAAATGTTCGCAATTTAAAGGGGCCGACAATTTCGTGCAAACGTTAAATAAATGTCGTGCGGCGATCGGTCCAAGGTCCGCGTGTACGGCCGTGTCCGAAATCTCGAGAGATTTTTTTCGAGAGGGTATACACACGCACACACGTATACACACACGTGTGATATACCCCGCACACGCTCGTGCGAAAAAGCCCCGGCGGGAGTCCGTCTCGGCTGTAGGTATTCCGCACACATGCATAGGTATGTCTTGAGAAGCAATCGATCGAAATCAGGGGAGCCGGCTGATTTTGCAAGTGCTCAGGGCCTCCGGCACTGCAGACAGAGAGAGACCGCCGTCGTCGTCAGGGCCCTGCCTTTATTAAATTAGAGTAAAGCTGTGGATATAAATGTGTGTATATATATGAGCAGGAAGGAGGAGAGCGAAGGCTCAGAGCAGCGAGGGAGTCCAAGCAGGGCAGCCAGCTTCTTCAGCGCCCGTCAATGCTAGCCACTGACGGTGGCCGGGAGATAGGGTCGTCAACGGCTGTTCACCTANCACTTCGTTTTATGTATACGCGACACGGCCTTTCGCCACGTACAACACCCGCTTATGTATACATATACACTCACGTGTGTATATATATATATATATATATGTATATATACACGTACCCGTGGTCTTGTTCTTGTGAAATATAGCTCCCTCCTCCTCCTCCCAAGGTGGTGTGAGTGTGTGTGTTTTATTTCGACACGCGGCTGCAAGAGCGCGAGAGCAAACTCATCGAGGGTTTCAAAATTGTGACCCGCGGGATGCCGAGAGACTCGCTATCCTCGAGACAGTTTCTATGTACCGTTTGTTTGTCCCTGCGAGCCCGCGCGCGTTCAATTTTGTGTGTCGAATTTTGTTTTTTTTTTTTACTCAACTCCCGGTGCTCGTGTGTACGCGATAGGTGCTATAGGGGAAGAATTATTACAATCGAAAAAATTTATTGGCCGATATGCAAGGGTGTATACCGGCTGAATTGGGTCGTTCGAAAATCGATACAACCACTTGGCACTTTACTCGTGAACGTGTTTTAACACAACTAGCTTGAAAAACCTTTTACTTATTCTATAGTATACGAGTTATGGGCACAGATTGTAGACGTATACACGAGTAGCAGCTATTTGGTATACATTATAGACGTTCCGATAAATGTACGATGAGTCGTACTCTTGAAACTGAGCTCGGCTGGTGCCGTTTGTTCTTTTTTTTTTTTTCTTTTTGAGTCATCATCGGTGCATTGTTTGTGTTGTTTGTTTATAGTAACAATGTAAAAATAGAGAAATGTACGCAGAGTCGTCATCCTCGTAAAGTATGTATATATTATGTCCCAATGTAGATGCACAGATAGGTATGTACCCGTAAGTACACTTGGTAAATCTTTTCGAATTTATCTCAATTTTCCCCAGCTCGCAAAAAGCAGCCCTCGCAACGTCGATGATTAACGACACACCAGCAGAGAGAGAGAGAGAGGGCTCCGTCGCGTATACAGGCTCTCGGCGGAGCCGGTGAACTTTACGGCCAATTGTGTCGGCGGCGGCGCATCCCGGCGCTCTCGCCAGCTATTTTTAAAATATCCGAGCCACCGATGCCGTCATCCGATCTTACGCGTACACAAGTACGCCTCGTATTATATACACACACACACCAGTGCGGATAAAGTACCAGCTGACATATAGTCAAATGACATTAAAACGCGCAAAAATTATTCTTCTTGCTTTTTTTTTTTTTTTTTTTTACTTCAAAAAACAAAAAAAATCCCCCGCGAACTCTTGTAGCAGTGCTTTTGGCGATCACCCGAAAATTTATATCGAGGCGCTCGCCCGCTTCTCTTGCCAGGAACACACCACCCTGAAAAACTGCGATTGCTCATAAAATTTCATTGCCACGCACATTAATTCTTTTTTTTTTTATGGTCAAGGTCACGCGTAGCTATTTTAAAGTTACCCTTTATTATTGCGCACCTAAATAAATAAAATCAAAGTAGGTATCAATGGTTGAAACGAATTTCAGGCGCTGACACTGGGCGACAAGAGCACGGACGCCTTGCTCCAAGCCCACCTGCGATTGGAGGGCACGGGGGCGGCGAGCAGCGTGGCCGGTTCCGTGGACGCCGGGCGCAAAAGGTACCTGCTGCTCGAGGGCCACCACGGGGACCTCCACGCGTACGTGAGGGCGCGCCGGAGGCTCCGCGAGCTCGAGGCCAGGCGGCTGTTTCGCCAAGCGGCCCAGGCTGTGGCTACCTGCCACGACAGCGGAGTCATACTCAGGGACCTCAAGCTCAGGAAGTTTGTCTTTGCCGATGAGGACAGGTGAGTTGGGTTTTCATTTTTTTTTATACCAATTTTTTTTTTTTTTTTTTTTTCTCCTTACGATAATCGAGAGGAGGAATTCGGGGTTTCGTCTGGTAGATCGAGGCTCCGCTCGAGTATGTGCGGTGTAGAAAGGAAATAACTAATACCGGTTCCTTGAAGAGACACCCATACGTATACACAAACGCACACGTTAAGGGCGAGAAGGAAAGGGTCCCCGCACCTTCCGAGAAATAAGGTCCCGACTAATAGAGCCGCGGCAGACAAACGCACAATGCGAGTGGGTATATATATAAATGAGCAGGCATATAATATCTGTATAGACATCGACGGAACATCCGCCCTCTGCGTCACTCGAGCTTTCGAATCGAAATTCTCGTCGAGCGGTTCCAACACGGATTTAATTTATTATTATTATTTTTCTTTCTCCTTTCCTTAGTGGTGGCCGCGTAAAATTTTACTCGTATCTCACAGGTATATCCTGTGTACAGTTTAAGCGCCACAAAAAAAATTACGGTTTTGGGGTAAAAACGGTTGGGTCGTAAAGCCTCGTTGTAACGGGAAATCATTGGATTGACTCAACGAGTATACGCATCCACCAGAAAAAATTTGATGGGGAGGGAAAAAAAAAAAATGAAAAATTCCAATCTCCCGCGCGTGAATATAATACCTTGTACTCTCGATCTCGACATTCCACCGACTTCTCGACGTGCATGGGTATAAATACGTATAAATAGAGCCAACGAACGCAATCCATTACAAAACAAATTCAGCCGAGCTGCTCCTATGTTGTACCTATATATACAACGCTGCACACGAAAGCTTATTTCAAAACCATTGAGAGGGAGAGCTCCGATTGAGCGCGCAACAATTAAACACCGAGCAATAAGCTGCGCGGCCGCGTGTATACTTTTCAATTGTACCCACAACCACGTGTACATACATATACAAAACAATCGGAGCTCGGCTCGATCCAGATAAGCTCTCCGGAGCGCGGTGGGGGAGAAATTCTCTCTCCTTCGATCTCGGGGCGAGCTGCACTTGTAAAATCCCGATATAATAAATTGGTACTATCCGAGGCCCGGCTTTTTGAGAAATAGTAATCAAAGGGAAAAAAAAGGGCCACCCCTGTAGGTAGTGCATTGTCAGGTGGCTCCGATATGCAGGCGTGTGCAGTATACCTTGCGACACGTGTGCAGTGTATCATGTGTCTGTCTGTTTGTCGTGAGTTCGCGCGCATATGTACACCGGGTCGAGCCCAACTGATTTGCCAATAGTTCGTCGCGATCGCATTCCTCTCTCTCTGTATATGTACTTATATATTATTATGTGTGTATAATGTACGCTTAGCTGCGCCACTCGTCTGTATATTTTGCATTGCTGTATATATACGCGCATGGCTTTTGTACGGCAAAGAGAGGAGGAGAAAAAGAACGGCTCGAGAGGTGGTATGCCGTCGTTGTTGTATTCATGCACAGGGCACTATCCATCATCGCGTGATAATATAAAATAATAATAATATTACTCGCTACGGAGAAAAGAAAAGAAAAACGGGAGCTTTTGAATTAATGACTCGCGTCGAGTTACGTACACGTACATCCTCGAGCAGAGACGAAAGATTAGCCGAAATCCCTCTAATACTTGGGTCACAGTTCGCGCGCGCGCCCCACATATATATGAATGCAAGTGCATTTGCGCAAGTGTACGCGAGATGCATGCAAGTGCGCGGTGGTGAACGCCGCATTGCACAAAATCGTTTTCGTTTGACCGCACGTTAATTTCAGCTATGGCAATTTTCGGTCGCAACACTTTGTAATGGTAATGCGTGTGTATAGCTTGTACTTACCTCGAACAAATTTGTCGTCGTTTCGACATTCGTGTGAACAAATATTCGTACACACCTATACATCGTATACGTATACACGTGCGATGTATTGGCGTGCATATATTGTTGTATGTACAATAATGGGTATATTTTCCAAAGCGCAGGTGTGATAAATCTTGTTTACCCAGCCCTGCTACTGATACAATTTTTCAAATGCATCCGTGTAGTACATGATGTTGTAATCGTGTAACTTTACCGTATATATATTCGATCGAATATTATAAATACAGTTAACATTGAAAGGGAAAAAAAACTCGATAAGAGATACCCCTTGGATTCGGTGGGTGTATATAGGTTCTTACCCAAGTATTGTGACCCAGCCCCGCGGGCATGTCCATGCTTACACGAACACAATAAGCAGTTTTGAAATCAATAATCCATCGGCAAGAAATTTTCACACGTATTGGTACATGTATATATAAAAAAAAAAAAAAAAAAAAAACTCGCGGAGGGATTTTTTACTCAATGGCATGTATTATACGAAACGACGATTTATTTCAATGAAATCGCCACTCACTCGATCTGAACTCCGAAATTTTGTATGCGGTGGTCGCGTATCGAAATTCCTCTCGTGCAATACTCATCAACGCACGCAACGAGACGAAAAAAATGCTGGAAGTGGCTAAGGGACACACGTTGCAAAAGACGATATAACCACATATATTACAGAGGGAGGGCTTTTGAAACCTTCACAGCACACGTACATTAAATACACACAGACACACGGCCTCTCTCGTACATGTAATTAGGAAATCGGCGATCTCTTTCTCTTTTCACATACCAAACGTAAGTACATATATACACACACTTCGTTTTATGTATACGCGACACGGCCTTTCGCCACGTACAACACCCGCTTATGTATACATATACACTCACGTGTGTATATATATATATATATATATATAACATACGTGCGCTCGTAATTTCACCACACATCTGTGTTACTTTCACACGTGTGTAGGAGAGTATGGGCAATACATTTGAGAAATCGCGCGGCGATTACGTTGACGCTGCCACTTCTCGGCGTTTTCAAAATCTGTCGCTTGAGAAACTCTGCCACGCGGAGAGTGGGATTGGGGGTGGGGGAATTTGCATTTGTTATTTTTTTTTTAAATTTTTTCGCGAGCCCGTTTATGGCTACATGTAGATATCGGTACGTTTGGCTGTAAAAGCCGAGAAATCGGCGATATGAAAGTGCCTCGATTAGATTCGGTGTCGATGAACGCGTGTAGGTACCGTATGGTATATAATATATGCATGCAGCGAATCTGCGGGTCATTATCCGGGGTCGTGTGCACACGAGAACATGATTATACGCTCACCCGAGGAGTTTGAAACTTGATTAAAAAGCCAATTGAATCGATACTACCACCACCACGGGTTAAATCGTCTGTCTGGCTGGTAAATACACACAATAAGTGTGTAGGTGTGTGTACACTTGCCCAATGCATACCATCAGGAGATTATTTCATTCAGCTCTCCCGGCTACATGTATATATATATATGTGTGTAAGTTGTAACAACGAAATCGTATGGGATTGGGAGAGCCCGTGCCGAATCTCTTGAGAAACTATAATGTGGACTGTTTGCGTTTGCTCAATAGTGCTTTTTTTTTCGAGGAATGAGTTAACTTAATTTATGTACCAACGTATACGTCTGTCGAGCGTAATGAAGCATCGGTGTATTTGTTTAAAAGGTACTTACCTGTGCGTTTGGCGCGATTTAAAAATAAATCGAATTGTTCGCGCACGTGCCACGATCGGGCAGTTTTAAGAAAAAAAAAAAAAAAAAAAAAAAAAAAAGAGAGAGAAAAAAAACAAGAATTAGATAAGATAACACTCGAGCATAATTACGGGTATCGCAGAAAAAATAAATGTATTGCGTTAACGTTAACGTGTGCTATATGGTGCGGTGTGAGTGCAAGATCCGATATAATATAAAACCGCAATATGTATATCCAGGAAGTAAGCAGTTTGTGATAAAATACACGTAGTATATACGTGTGTGCACACATGACACGTTGTAAGAGTTGACGCAACAAGACGCAATACTTACTCAATTGTTCCTCCCGGATATCGAAGCAAGTTCAAAGCTGACCTATAGGAAAATTACCACGTGTACCTGTATCATTATCTATACGTACACGGTGTAAAAAATACCTCATGAGAGGTGAATACCCTACAATATATTTAAAAAAAAAACTATAAGTATATACATGCGTCGCATTTTGCCTATCTACTATCTGTATATCGTATCGTTGTCTCCCTGATAACTAACGATCATCCAACTTTACTGACGACCGCGTGTTTGCTCGGGCCGCGGTAGTAAAACATCGAGTTACCATCGGTAATTGTCCCCCTTTCGACACGAGCTCGAGAATAATTGGAAAGATTTTCCATCTTTGTTTACTGCAAAATGACAACAGGTACGCGAAGAAGTGCGTTAAGGAGGTTCGGTAGTGATAATTTTTTATGATGAAAATTTTTGAAATTTCGATATGTTGTTTGGGATAATAGTATCAAATTACAGCTAAATTTTTGAAGGGTTTAACCACACCGTTTTCAAGATATATTGACCTGAAAAAACAATATTTTAACATGTAGGCTTATGGAGAAATCACTTAAATTTCACATAAAAAAAAAACGGCTAAATGAACTTGCTTTTTTTTTTTAAATGAAAGAATATTGTCAAAATAATATTTTGTCAAAGTTTGAGAGAGCCCTACCACAAATTTCTATTAAAAAACAGCAAAAAATGTGCTCGCAGCAGACGACTTGGCAACGCTGCTTTTGTAGCGCGCTTTGAAATGTAATGAATAGTAAAAACTCCTTTTGTAATTGAAAATTTAATTATAAAAAATTCAATCAAATAAATAAGTACACTGTCATCAGTAGACGACGACAACAGCAGTAGACGACAACAACAGTAGACGAGACGACGTGCCAGCAGCCGAAAAAATTCACAACGTTGCCAGACGCTCTCCCTCCCCTTGCCTCTTTGAGATTTCCCCCCGCTAACACTACCGAACCTCCTTAAATGTATGTACGGGCTATGTACTTATGTGTGCTTTTTTTTTTTTTTTGTGGAAAACTTTTTATCGACATTGCTAACTCGGCGGAGAATTCATGAAGAAAAATATATTAACTTTATCGCGCGAGCTCGACTTTTGTTTTTTCTCTTTCGAACTTGAAATCGCGGCATTGGCGAGTAAGTATATATATATATTATTATCGAGATTATTATATATAGAGTTTCGAAATAATCAAATGAGCCACGTGTAACATCACTCGCTATATAGCAGCCGCAGCTGGACAAGTGTATTTTCACACAGTGTATTTCCAACTGTCTAGTATGTGCGCGTACATCATCCATATACATAAACCTTAAAAAATCCCGTACGTCAATTTATGTATACAACACAGTTTTTTTTTTCTGCCTCTCTCGAGCCTTGGGGTGGGCCTCTTGCGAAATCATCCCGGAACACATAACACTTGGGCAACGTATATCGCAACGCGTGAGTTCGACGCCCTCTCGCCGATATTATACCTTGTACCGTGCTCTGTGCGACGATAAAGGTCCCTCCACTTTTTTTTCACAAGAGATAAATATAGAATATCATCATATATTACACCTAAGTAAGTGTACGGGGGAGCTTGCGAAAGAGGCGTGCACGCGCGGGAGAGAGAAATTTGGAACGATTATCAATCGAGCACTTGTATACGCACGTGGTTCGCGCATGGAGGTTACTTTGTTTTTTGGGTAACGAGTGGCGTGAGTCTTGTCCCTTGCTTGTATGTATGTATATATATTGTTCGTAGCTCTGTTGTAACGCGAGTAACGGCGCGTGGAGGTTACGCGCTTAGTAGGCGCCCGTTGGCCTTGATTTTCGTACGAAGAGCCGTTCCGCCTGACGATTCGCTCGATCGGCCGACCCTGAATCTGTTTTTGTGCCCCAAGTCGGTCCTCCGCGAGAGAAATTTCGTAGTCTTTTTTTTTTTTCTTTACCGCGCTTAATTTCTCCTCTCGTTCGTGGGATTTTTTTTTTTTTTTTTTCAAGATCAATCAGCGGGGCCGGAAGCAAGACTATCGCGCAGTCGTGAATAAATTTCTCGCGCCGAGGTGTCATTGCCCCCCTTTCGCGATCCGTATGTATACACAAAGTCCTTTCGCCCATTGCCAATAAGCCACTGGTGTAGCGTATACGGTATTAAGCAAGTCTCACTTCGGTCATCGACGTCCAGAACAGGACACACACTCATACATGTTTCGAAAGCCCTCCTCCGACAGATCCCGCGATTCGGGTTCCTTGAACCCGGGGTATGTGGGTACACACGTATAATACATATGTACGAGTACAAGCGTCTCCGGTGAAAGTTCGCGAACGAGAAAGCGAGCTCTCGTTGATGTGTATACCCTATTTTCTCGCTTCCTTTAATTTGTTTTTTTTTTCTCTCTCTCTCTCTCCTCCTCCACTCCTCGACCGGATTTCGTACGCTGGAATAATTGCCGAAATGGGTCTTGACTTCTGTCGGATAACCCGATCGGACGATCGTTCGTTGCCCCTTTCCCGAGAATGAATAATAACCCGGGTGCGATGTGGTAAACAAGTTTGTCGAGTACAACACAAAACCATGTCTCAATCGTCTCTCTCTCTTTTTTTTTTTTTTTTTTTCCTTTGAGTAGGTTTCATTTCTAGTATGCCCAAGAGCTTCGTTAACAATGAAGGCAACTGCGGAAAGCAATAACCGTAAAATTACCCATATACGCGTCGTTTTTCTCCTCGCACAAAATTTTTATGTGCGTATGTATGTGCACACGCATCGAGAGACCCTTAATTCCACTTATATGTAATCGGCGTAACACAAGCGACGAGGAATGAATCGTAGCTTCGGTTTCTCCGTAGCGAGAGAGTAAGTATGGAAAAATCGACGAGCGCAAATTAATATTCGCGTGTGCATTATGATACTTGTACATGTACACAAACACGAAAGTGCACAGCAGCGAGCGGATAGGCCGAGTTGTATTTTTCTCTCTTGTGCATGGCTCAATTAACCATATCGATTATTGAGGTATACCACGATCGTTTATCTCTGCATTGTTTCGTTTCAAAATACCTCTACCTCCCCTTATCTCTTTGCCTTATAGCAACAGCGTTGTTTTACCAAGTGTATCACGCACATGGTCTATGACTGTGAAGAACCGAAGCGCCGTGCAACGGCAGCGTCAGTATACACAATTAACATGTAAACAATTAATTATTTGACGAAAAATTTTTTTTGTTCTTTAATACATGAACATAGTTATTAAGCGATTTTTATCGTAGATTCCTAATTACGTTATAATAGCAGTAGTAACTTGGGAAGTTTTCATTCTTCAATCGTAGACCACGTGCGTGATACACTTGGTAAAACAACGCTGCTTAGCAAACGTGTTGAAATTCCGTTTGCCGCCCGTTGGCGAGAAAACGCACACGCTCTCCTTATCTCTATGAGCAGTCGGTCAATTGTGTGTATTGATACACTTGCGTCTAGTACAAGAAAAGTCGTGCGCGATGACGATCATAGCGGGAAAAACGATGAGTACCCGTACCATGAACGCGTATAGCCACGAAATTCGGAGAAACGCGTACACGCGTATATTAGTTCCCGTGTGCGATGAACAATAGCTTCGATCGGTCGGGTACAGTGTAATTCCCATGCGCGGGATCGATTTTTCGCTGTCAATGAAAAACAATCGCACAATTCAATGCAACCGACTCCTTTATTTTTTTTCCCCTCCCAACTTGGACAGTATAAAATATCGTGTGCAACCTATATGTCGAATTTATTAAAGTACGCGCACTTGCGGTAACAAGTTTCAAAAATCGCGACTAAACGAAGGAAAAAAAAAAAAAAAAAAAAAAAGCCAAGGATCGACGCGCAGATGGTATGGGTTTCTCAATCGGACGAGGACGCCCTTGAGCCTTGCCTTGCGTGCGAGAGTCTTTTCGCGACCGCCATGGGTACAGTGTTATTACACACCCAATAAGAAGCGGGTAGGTATATGCACGTACGAGCGACTCGAAGGATCGGCGGCCTTTTTTTTTTTTTTTTCGAGAGCCAGACAGATAGAGGGTCCGACCCACCACCACCTCGCCCTTGGGCCACTTGCGACAACTCGGGGGCCCCCATTCGTATATTGTTGCGATTACTATACCTCGTATCGGTAAAAACTCCGGAAGTTGCGCATAAAGTGTATATTAGACGCACGAAAGGACGTTGCGTGGGAATTTCGGGGCGCGCATTAAGTATATACAGTGATTACAAATTTAAAAGAGACGAAATTCGAAATTTCCATGAGCATATCCATAATGTATACAGTCCGCGCAACCCCGACTCTGACTTGTTTCAGCACAGCTGGTCGTAAGTGTACCAATACCAGGTGTGTCCAAAGCTTCTCGTTTCCTAACGATTTGGTTGTACCTGCGTTTAATTAGCAGCGGTCAGAGTTGCTTTTGAAAAGACATGGGAGAGAGCGGGATGGAAAAAAAAGTCAGACACCGTCGTCGATTCTCAATATACAACTAGTGTAGTATGTATAGGTATTACCTGTATACACCCGAACTGGGTATCGCCATCGCAATCGGGCAACGTATATTTATAGGTGTCTACGAAATATACCTACTTGAGTGCACAAAAATGAAAAAAAAAAAAAAAAAAAAAAATCCGTTTGCTCCCGGGGGCAGTTTGTGCGCGCAACGCGTGGTGTAAGCCTGGTATGTATTATGAATATACGCGTGTATACACAAACACACAAACGCCCCGAGGGGGAGGCTCGTTTCGAAAAAGAAATTCGCGGTGGTTACCTAAGAAGCTGCATATATATATACTTACGTCGCTTATATATATAATATACCCTGGCTACGCCGACCGGCCCCTCTATTACGTTTACACGTTGCATCGCGGCTGCATATATGGGAGAGACTTCCGCGATCGGGTTGATGTACGCCACTGTAATATATAGGAACAATCACCTACTTAATCCATACACTGTGTATATAGTAAAAGAAAAATACACGAGACAACGAGGCGCGGAAAATACTTATACTGTCTGTCTCTTTGTCGTAAGAGCTCGATCTCGTCGTTGCTCGTACGTGCATGTGTTTCGCCACCGGTGTTAGGCAGTACTTTATACCTATCCGTCCGTATAATACGTAAAATATACGTTTCTTTAGGTATATCATATATATATATTGACAAAGAGAGACTTTGGGAGGTATTTGCGGGTTGAAAGTTATACTTACGGGTTAATCCTCTCGTGTGTACACACGTTGTATGTGGGGTTGAGTAAAATGTGTTTCTGATGTAAGTAACACGTACACGTGTGGGTAAAGAGCGCGGAGAAAGTACAAAAACCAAAGACGTTGCATCAGAGATACGTATAACATACGAGTGTACCTATATAATATACTATAGGGATGTACATAGTTACCTCAGACCAGCATAGGGCACTTGTGAAAGTTTCCTACACAGAGTTTCGAGTCTCGAGAGTACCGATACTGTTTTGTTTTTTTTCACTCGGGGAGAGATTGATAAAACGTGGAAAACCTGGACATTCCTCTCGTTCGTGACCGATAATATATGCGCGTAACAATACATATACACCCACGTAATGTCTGATCGGTGTAAATAACGCGCGGACACTCGAGACGCTAAACCGCAGCCTCTCCTTGTTTACTCTCCCTCCCCCCACCCCCTCGCGTTCCGTTCTTTTAATTAATCTCACGCGCCACCGACCGTCATCATCTTATTTTTTTGCATTCCGCCCTGGACGAAACCACCTCTCTCTCGATTGAAAAGTTGTTGTTGTTGTTTTTGCAGGCTAATCATAACAAGTCCTTGACGTATCTCTCCTTTGATTTTCAGAACGGAGCTGCGGCTGGAGAGCCTCGAGGACGCGGTGCTGGTGGACGAGGACGACGACAAATTGTCGGACCGGCGGGGCTGCCCGGCGTACGTGGCGCCTGAGGTGCTGCGCTCGGGTCGGGCGTACTCGGGCAAAGCGGCGGACATCTGGTCGTTGGGTGTTCTGCTGTACACGATGTTGGTCGGCCGGTATCCGTTCAACGACGCGGAGCACGCGAGCCTCTTTGCAAAGATATCCCGGGGTCACTTTGCCATACCGGAGGCCCTGAGTCCTAGGGCGCGTTGCCTGGTCAGGGCGCTGTTGAGGCGAGAGCCCTCCGAGAGGCCGGTGGCCGAGGACGTGCTCAGGCACCCGTGGCTCGCCAAACCCGTCAGGCAGAGTCCGTCCGGGAGTGGTGGGTGCCACGCGAGGACCGGCAGCGGGGCTGCCGGGGCGGCCGCTGGTGGCACGGCCTCGCTGGACCAGCTCGTACCAGAGCAGACCAATTCCACTTCGAGTGGCAGCAACGGCAGCAGTAGTAATAATAGTAGCGTTTACCCGATCCGCATGAGCCAAGACTGAGCAGTGCAGCGTCGAGTTGTAGCTGCGGCTTTTATTAACTCTTAATGTTTCATGATTGTGACGACGATGTCGTTTGGTTTTTTTTTTTTTTTTTTTTTTTGCTTTGCGTTGTCGCTTCGGAGTCGAGTCAGAAGAGTTAGGAGGGAAACGGGGGTGATGTAGAAGCGCTTGCTTTTTTGACATTAATTGGATAAATCAAGCGGTGTATTTTATTGTGATCGATGTGGAAAGCAATTCGGTTCGGGCGCCAGGGGGGTTCCCGTAGGCTCCACCAAGGTTTTTTTTTACGTAGTTTTATCTCTGGAACTTCGAGGGTGGAACCTCGAAAAATCACGCAACAAAAGTTATGAACAAATTTTTTACATACATAAGGGTTTTGCATTAAAAAATTGTTTTCTTATTCTTTGGCACTTTTGAAACAAAAAACCATTTAGAATGTATGTACCTAAACCCCTACAGTTTTCTAGTAAAAAATTCTCAAAGTTCTAAAAAATTCATTTTTTGTTATTTTTATAGCCTTATCAAAGTATTGAAATAAAACATTTGAGCGCTTCAGTAATTACGAAACGCTAAGGCAGATAGGTATAGGCCTTTTTTGGAAAGCTGATAGTAAATGATAATGTAATGTGTCTGCATTTTTTTAAGCTTTGGGAATCTTTTACTCGAAAACTGTGAGGTTTCGGTAAATACATCCTAATTTATTTTCTTTTTATACTGTACCAAATAATAAAAAATTAAAAAAAAAAATTTTTCATCAACAAAACGTAATTTCAAAATTTATACCTGTTTTTTTTTTTTTTTTTT